AGCACTCAGGAGGCAAAGTCAGGCAGTTCTCTGAGTTTGAGGCCAGCCTGGTCTACAGTGCAAGTTCCAGGACAGCCAAGGCTACACAGAGAAACCCTGTCTCGAAAAACCTGAGGGGGGCGGGGCGGGGTCCTTTATGGCAGGCTGAGCATGAGGTATTGCATCCCAGGTCAGGAAACTGAGAGCTGAGTGTCCAGCAGGAGAAGATACTCAGCAGGCTTTCTGCTCCTGCCCGGACTGCTTAGGGCGGCTCTGTTCCCCTCAGTGAAGCATCTCCAGGAATGGCCTCCCCGACACACCCAGAGGTGTGCTCCCCTAGCAGTTCTGAACCCCAGCCAGCTTGACTAGTAAGATGAACCTTCAAATCTGAATAACCCACGCTATTCATCTCATCTCAGGATCCTGAACTTGGCCAAGTCCACAAAGTCCCCTTTGCCATGGGAGGAGGCATACCTCCAGGTTCCAGGGATCAAGAAAGGAACCTCTTTGGGCACGATTATCTCACACATCCCACTCAGGTTCCCCCTTTCCCCTAGGATATGACTACCGAGAGCTACCCCAAAATGCTCTTCCTCCGGTGGGCATTCCCCTTACTCCTGCTTGCTTCTCAGACACCATCTTTCGTTTTGTTTTTCGAGACAGGGTTTCTCCGTGTAGCCCTGGCTGTCCTGGAACTTTCTCTGTAGACCAGGCTGGCCTCGAACTCACAGAGTTCCACCTGCCTTTGCCTCCGAGTGCAGGCATTAAAGGTGTGCACCACCACCGCCCGGCTTCAGACGCCATCTTTGATGAGGTTGTTATAACTGGTTTCCCCCACTTCCTGACAGCCCATGCTGTCTACACCTGCTCTTGCTGTGGTCAGCAGGAGCAGAGCCTTGGCCAGCTTTTCATTCTCAACCAAGCTGCCTACTTTTGTTGGCTGTTTGGGCCTCCTGGAGGCCGTCCTCTCCTCTGTCTGTCTTTACATATTCCTCCTGGCTTGATGGTCTATCTATCTATCTATCTATCTATCTATCTATTTTTAAACTACATTCATGTCTACTAAGCGGTGGTGACGCACACCTTTAATCCCAGCACTCAGGCGGCAGAAGCAGATGGATCTTTATGAGTTTGAGGCCAGCCTGGTCTATGGAGCCAGTTCCAGGACACCTAGGGCTACACAGAGAAACCCTGTTTTGAAGAACCCCAAACAAACAAAGAGTTACATTTATCTGTGTGTATTTGTGTGGTTGCACTTATGCACATGCATGTGTACCTGTGTGCTCCAAGGCATATGTGTGACTGTCAGAGGACAGTCGAAGGAGTTGGTTCTTTCCTGGCACTGTGTGGGTCCTAGGGCTTGAACTCAGGTTACAGTGCTTGGCAACAAGGGCTTTTACCTACTGAGCATCTCAGTTTCTCTTCCTCCTGGCATGTCCCCCTCCTCCCTCTGTCCCCTCTGGTTTCATCCTCTCTGCGGGTTACGCTGTCTCCACCTCCCTGTGGAATGTCCAGCTTGCCCCGGGGTTTTAGATCTTTAATCCAGTGCTCTTTCTTACTGTGATCTTGTCCCGCACTAATGGCTAGCTCACAAGGATTGCTGACTGCTGCCCGTCCTGAGCAAACATGACTGTTGGCTGGGAGCGGTAGTGCGGACCTCGCTTCACTGAGCCCAACTGCTCAGTTCACTTCACTGTGGAAGGGACTTAGAACCATGAAGCCTGGGGCACTTTCCTGCTTCTGCCCGAGATAGTGTGGAATCCTCCTCAGGACTTCCCCGAGGTCAGATGAAGGCAGCAGGCCAGTGGAGCAGAGTGTGTTTAGTGGGGAGCGACCTTAGAGAGGCAGCTCAAGGAGGAAACCTTTACTTTGGGTCACAGTTTTGAAGAGGGCAGCTGTCATGTGTGTGTGTGGGGGGGCTGTTCATGTTGGTGTGAGCTTGTGGCCTGTTCCCTTGTTGGCAGGCAGGGAAGCAGAGAGCCCAGGCCTGTATCAGAGATAGAACAGTCCTCAAAGCCCACCCTGCAGTGACCCAGTGTGACTAGTTAGCTCACAGGTTTCAGAGGTTCCACAACCTCCCAAACCTTGTCAACAGATGGAGACCAGTTGTTCAAACATAAGCTTGTGGGGTCATTTAAGACTCCAAACTCTTTTTTTTTTTTTTTTTGTTTGGATTTTTCGAGACAGGGTTTCTCCGTAGCTTTTTGGTTCCTGTCCTGGAACTAGCTCTTGTAGACCAGGCTGGCCTCGAACTCACAGAGATCCGCCTGCCTCTGCCTCCCGAGTGTTGGGATTAAAGGCATGCGCCATCACCGCCCGGCTAAGACTCCAAACTCTTACAACAGGGAAACGGGTTGGGATGTTACCTCTTCAGAAATGTAGTTGCTGGGGAAACCTATCCTGACTGCGACCTCTGGTGTTTGCAGTTTCTGGAGCTTGGAAGGAGCCTCCGGCCAAGTGTAGCTGGAAGGCACAAATATTCATAGGAAACCAAGGAATGTCCTGAGAGTATAGTTAGTCACTCTAGTTAGTTAGAGTCTAGTTAGTCACTCTAGTTAGAGTCTACTTAGTCACTCTAGTTAGTCACCAGAGAGACTAATTAATCAAATCAGTGGAGTTGCTTTCAATGCGGGAAGACTGTTGGGGGATGCAGAGCTGAGGCGTCATCTTGGGGGCAGTCAGGGGACTCACAGACGAAGAGAATAGCCAGGGAGCGAGAGTGAAAACAGCCATCTTAGGCAAGGCAACAGCATGCTTAGAGATCTGGAGTCAGAATGTCATCTACTTAGGGATCAAGGAGGAGGCTGAGGATGTGGGTGCATCCAGACAATAGGGGCTTCAGGGCAGGGCTGGCACAGAAGTTTGAGCTTTCTCTTGCTGGCCCTGGGGAGTCATGGGAATTTGAGCAGGGGAATGACTTAGAAGAACCTATCTTTGGAAGACTACTCCAATCTTGGGATAGACTGGGCAGAAATTGCTGGGTTCCAGACCTTAACATATACGAGATATAATTTTTGACAAAGGAAATAAATACCTTGGAAATTATTGTCCCATTCTTACGGTTTTATATATGTGCATATGTATATTTATTACATGTGTATATTTTTATATAATACATATTTAATTAGACTATTTGTTGTTATTTTAGATAGGGTCTCTCTCTGTAGCCCTGACTGGCCTGGAACTCACAGAGATCTTCCTGCTTCTGCTTCCTGAGTGCTCTGATTAAAGGTGCGCACGACCACACGGGGACTTTTGACTGTATTTTACATTCATCCTCATACATCTTAGATGGCTTGGATGGAGAACTTCCTTCCCTAAGGCACACAGTGACGTATGTAGCATTAGGACTCAGGGGTGCTTCCTGGTCTAGGGCTTTCCTTCCTCTTCATTGTACTGAGTGGATGCAGAGGTATCTGAAAAGGAGGCCAGGCCAATAGGGTGGATGGCGCCCAGGGCAGATGCCAAGGTGGCCAGTAGTCAGGGTGGATGGCACCCAGGGCAGACGCCAAGGTGGCCAGTAGTCTGGGTGGATGGCGCCCAGGGCAGACGCCAAGGTGGCCAGTAGTCAGGGTGGATAGCGCCCAGGGCAGACGCCAAGGTGAAAGCCGTGTGGGAGGCAGGGAAAGTAGTGTGTTCTTTCTCCATTCTCTGGGTGGGGGCAGGGACATGGGGTTCGTTGGAGACTGCACATGAGTGCATCTCCCTTTCCTGAGTCCTGCAGCATCCTTCTGGGCCTGGTTTCTATGGCAACAGGCTCCCAGCAGGCAGCCTGCCAGCTGGAAGGAAGCAGGCAGGCAGGCTTGGAGAGAAGGCCTGGGCCACAGGAGATAGGTTGGAATTTCGGGGATTGTGGAGGGAGGGTGCAGTTAGGAGAGTCTCCTGGGAAGACCGGAAAGGGCTGGATGGGCCCGTGGAGATGTCTCACGAGACCCTCTTCCCTTTTAAACGTGTGACTGTGGAGGTAGATGAGGACCCACGGCCCTCTCCTTTGAGGTTCTTGAATTCCCAGACTACTTCAACTTCTGTTCATCTTTGACACACACCCCCAGCCCGACTCCTACTTCCGAAAGTCTTGTCTGGCCCCGACCTCATGCGTCACAGTGCTCACTGACTTCTCACAGAAAAGAGCCCCTACTCTGAACTCAGAGTGGGAAAAATGAACAAGGCCAATTGACTTTCTGTTTTGCATAGGATTTGCATATAATTAACTCACAGACAAGAAATTTCCAGGCCCTGTGTCATTCCTGCCAACAACTTAATTCAGCTCCACTGGCTCTGGCAGACTGTCTGGCCAGGCTCTGGGCTGAGCCATCAGGGTCCCCAGGGGTGAAGTCGTCTCTGCTGTATGCCCACTCCATCCCAAGCTGCTCCCAGGCAGTTCTTCCTTTAGCTGGTGCCTCCCAGATTGCAGTCCTGGGTTTATAGCTTGGCTCTGCCACTCTGAAGCTGGATGACCTAGGACCTCTTTGGGTCCCATTTGCCAATGTCTCTGTGGACCTAGGACACACTGTATGGCCACTGTACACCAGCAGAGGCATATCTTCTCTAGAATACTGAATTGCAAGCTGGGTATGGTGACTCAGCACCTATACTAGTACTCCGGAAGCTGAGGCAGGAGGCTCGCTCACCTTGTGAGTGCAGCCTGGGGATTCATTGTGAGTTCCAGGTCTACCTGGGTACAGAGTGAGACCTTGTCTCAAAACAACAAACCCCAAAGAAAAAATAACAAAATGCTTCTGCATTCCTTGCTCAAGAGCTACTGGGGCCAGGAGCCCCACAGCTTGCTCAACTTTGCTTGGTGTGTCCAAGCATCTCTTCTGGTTGTAGGTACAGGTTGTTAAATAAATACTTTGACTGTCATTGCTGTTTCGTGGAAGTACAATAGGTCGGTATGTTCGCTGCAAGGGCCAAGTGTGTGTAGTGGTCATTGTTTTGTAGGCTTTTGCTTGGAATTGGGATGAGGGAGGACCTGGGGTGACCTGAGCAGGAGCAGAAAGCACAGGCATCTTCCTCCACAGGCGGGCAAGGTTCAAGCGCTCCAACAGCGTGACCGCCGGTGTGCAGGCAGACCTGGAGCTGGAGGGCTTGGCTGGCCTGGCCACTGTGGCCACAGAAGACAAGGCCCTGCAGTTCGGACGTTCCTTCCAGAGGCACGCCTCTGAGCCCCAGCCCGGACCCCGGGCCCCCACCTACTCAGTCTTCCGCACGGTCCACACGCAGGGCCAGTGGGCCTACCGCGAGGGCTACCCACTGCCGTACGAGCCGCCAGCCACTGATGGGTCGCCTGGCCCTACCCCTATCCCCGCCCCTGGTCCCGGGTCCGGCCGCCGAGATTCTTGGATGGAGCGCGGTTCACGTAGCCTCCCCGACTCAGGCCGCACGTCCCCCTGCCCACGGGACGGCGAGTGGTTCATCAAGATGCTGCGGGCAGAGGTGGAGAAACTGGAACATTGGTGCCAGCAGATGGAGCGTGAGGCGGAGGACTATGAGCTTCCGGAGGAGAGTGAGTCCCCTGCCACCCACGAAGGGGAGAGGGGCGATGGCCCCTCCCCTCAGGCTTGCCTCCTCTTTGGTCCTCCATACTGGAATGTGAGGTTCCCACTGGCAATAGGGCATGCTAGGAGTGCCTGGAAATGGACAGTTTTAGAGGCCAGGGCTAGGACTGGAGGCGGGAGGGGGGTGGATCATGACCAGGCAAAAGGAGGTAGCTACCAGTCCAAGTCACTAACTCCATGAGGTACAATCTGTTCAGATCTGGACAAGTATACCGTTCCAGTATGAGCTTAGTGGTAAGACCGGGGGACTACATTACCATTCTGATTTGAGAATAGCTTTCCCAGAGGATGCTGGGATTCCTCAATGAAAGATGGAGGCTTTTAACATCATTGGAGGAGGCAGCTCAAGTGAGAACAAGTTTGAGGAAGAGAGGGAAGGTCAGCATGGCAGCCAGCCGCGTGACAGAGGGAATGTCCGGTCCCCACGAATCCAATCTGAGGGGAGCCAGTGTCAAGTTCCAGAGATGAATTAACAATTCTTAACAAACCAAGGATGTTACTGATAAGTAACAGAATCTGGTCAGTGAATGATCATCGCGCTATTGCTCTGGCCAAGGCTGGAAAGCTAGATTGGAGGGAGGAGGCACTGGTGGGAGGAAGGACCAGCACTTGGTAAATTACGGCTGTGTGAAGGAAGGAACTTCATTGAGGAGGATGAAGTCTTCGTGTGGTTGGCTGAGGAAGGGGCTGGAAGAGAAAGATGGATAGATAGATAGTACAGTAACCAAGAGGCGAGCATCTCTAAAGGTAAACTTTGGGTCCCTGGAGGAAGAGGGATTTCCCTCCCCCACCTCAAGCCTCCTTCTGTTCTGTAGTCCTGGAGAAGATTCGCAGTGCCGTGGGCAGTACACAGCTTCTCCTATCTCAGAAGGTCCAGCAGTTCTTCAGGCTGTGTCAGCAAAGCTTGGTAGGTGTCTGTACGGGATCTGCAGGTGACCCAGAGTGACTGAGAAGTGGGACCAGGTCTGTGTATTTGGAGGGGTGGATTGTGTGTGGCTCAAGACAGTTAATCCCGTGGGGCCTAGAGAAGCCAAAAGGTCAGACATGTCTTGTTTGGAGTATTGTTCCTTGAGGTCGAGCCCAGTGTTTTCCACCCAGGTAGGAGACACCTGGGCTTTTTCTTGTCCCCTGTCACCCATCCCTCAGCCCATTCCCCTAGGTTGAGCTTCCTAACAGTGAGGCTGGGCATGACTTTCTCTGAGCCTGCCTGAGGGTCAGACCTCCCTGACGGGCTTCCTCCCCTGTGTGTCTCACCACGGCAGGACCCCACTGCGTTCCCTGTGCCCACCTTCCAGGACCTGGCTGGTTTCTGGGACCTCCTGCAGCTCTCCATTGAAGATGTGACCCTCAAGTTCCTGGAGCTACAACAACTCAAGGCCAACAGCTGGAAACTCCTGGAGCCTAAGGTGTGTTTGTGGGTCCTTTCGGGCCAAGAAGCCACACTCCGGAATGCCCTTCTCAGAAAGGAGTGTGTGGATGTATGGATTTGGGAGTCACAGGGGGACAGACAGCAGTAAGAACAGCTTTAGATAAAACAGCCATTGCCCTGTGCTTAGCCCAGATGTTCACACCGCTGCTGCTTTCGCCACCTCCGGTCAGCGGCAGTGTGGAGAGTGGAGGCAGATTTTTAAGGCAGTTTCAGCCCTCTTATTGATAGACTTATGTCTGAGATGGTTGAGACTGGGGAGGCCCCTAGCAACGCTCCTCTCACTTCTCAGCCTGCATGTAGGTGCTAGCTGTTGAGAGCGGCTCCACCAGGGGGCGCCCAGCCCCGTCACATTGGAGACCTGTAAAGGGGCTTTGACCGGCTTTGACCTTGTTGAAACCTGCAGCGTCGGGTCCCGGGGCCAATTCCCGGAGCGATCCACGCGAATGCTATCCCTCGGGGAGCGGGGATGGGAGTGTGGGGCGAGAATCAGGATGCTGCAGTGGTCTCCTGCCGCCCAGCTCAGCCGCGCGCGCCTTCTCCCGACAGGAGGAGAAGAAGGTCCCTCCGCCCATACCAAAGAAGCCCTCGCGGGGGCGGGGCGTGCCGGTGAAGGAGCGCTCCCTGGACTCCGTGGACCGGCAGCGGCAGGAAGCGCGCAAGCGGCTCCTGGCGGCCAAGCGCGCCGCCTCGTTCCGCCACAGTTCGGCTACCGAGAGCGCGGACAGCATCGAGATCTACATCCCCGAGGCCCAGACCAGGCTGTGACCCGCCCGGGCCCTCCAACCCGGCCCCGGGCGCGCAGTTTTCTACCCGTACTGTACACCCAGCGTCGAGGTCACTGTGAACGCGGGCAGCTCCGTGCGCCCGCCCTGCCGGCACCGCACGCCCCGGCTCCTGCCCGCCGCACTTTCGTGGGTTTTTTACCTTCCTGATCCCACGCAAAGGCGCCCGGGCTAGGCTGGGGGCCGTGCCTCTCCGCCCAGCGCCCCTCACTAGGAACTCCCATCTTCCTGGTCCGACGCTTTGTCCTCACTTTTTCCCCTCCATGGGCACCATCTCTGCCATTATTTTACACCCCCCACACCCCTACGGGCCAGGCCGGGCCGGGTCCCCCATCTGGGCTCTGCGTCTCTCCCACACCCCGCGGGGCTGGGCTTCGTGGGGATCAAGCTTCGTGGCTTTTTATGAAGAATCCCGAACCCCGCCTAGGAGCCCGCTCCACCTTCCCAGGGCTCCCATCCTTAGCCCTCCGCCCACAGGGCCCAGGGACCACAGTGGCTGGACCAACCCAGGACCAGGGCGCCTGGGCCTCTCCTCTTTCCCTCATCTGGGGAGGGGAGACAGGGGCTTTCCCTCACCACACCTGTGGCTGTTCCCACATCCCTTTGACTATCCCAGGAAAAATAAAACCGCAGAACTGCACCGGAGCCAGCTCTCTCCAGAAGAGACCACCTCTGTGGGGGCTTGGGTAAGGTGGGGGGTGGGGAAGAGGAGGAGAAGGAGCCAGGAACTTGAGCATTCTTTTTGTGGGGGACCGCAGGGGTTATCTAAGCCCTTTCTTAGTTGGGAGACAGGGATTCTGGTAGTCACGCTATGGACCTGTGACTTCCTGGAGGGATCCTGCTGGGGCGTGAAGGGAAGGGAAGGAACCCATTCGCCCCTCCTCCGTAAATCAAGGAACGCGTCGCCCCTCTTCCGTCAAGCCAGGGCCTCCTAGACCCTCCAGAAAGGGAAGCCCCGGATTCAGTACTTGGCACACAGCACATGTGCAATGGGGGAGGAGGGATCTTGTGTGTGTGGGGGGGGGCCTGGGAGTGGGGGTTATTGTTAGAAATCAATGAATGGACGTAAGCTTTCCGTGGAGAACAAGTACTCTTTCTTGCCCCAGTCCCATCCAGTCAGCTGCAACGAACACCATTTTCACGCTGCCATTTTCTCGGATGACTCCTGTAGATGGGACTCTTTGCAGAGGGGGTTATAAAGGGCGAAACTTCACTGAGAAACTAAGTTAAGTTAGGAGGCGTGGAGAGGATCTACTGAATGCCTCCGGAGAGTCGGAGGGTCGGCCAAGGGATGCGTGCTCCACAGGGAGGGACTGACGCCCAGGCAGGCTAAGCTGGGCTCTCCAGAATCACAAAAGTAGAAGTAGTGGGCACGGCCAGGTCTAATGCCAATTCATGAGACTTACAGATCTACAGTATTCCCAACTCAGAAGGAACTTGACAGCAGCCCCCACAAAAAAGCCCCCTTTATAGTCTCCTGAGGCTGTTGCTTTGGGCCACACTGGACCAGCCAATTCTTATTCGTTTGTTCAACAAATGTTTGCCATTGGCAGACACCATGGAGTAGCCCTGAGGTCTTTTTAAAATGTGTGTGTGTGTGTGTGTGTGTGTGTGTGTGTGTGCTCGCACGTAAGCTAGCAGTTGATGATGTGTGTCTCTAGTATTCTCTGCCTTATCTTTTTGAGATCCAGGCTTACTGAACCTGGAGTTTATTCTGCTCTAATGGCGGGCTACCAACCCCCAGGACCCCTTCTATCTTTACCCACCCCACCCCACTCGCACCCCCGTACTGAGATTACACTAGACTTTTTACGTGTGAGTTCTGGGGATCCAAACATGGGTCCCTATCCTTGCATGTCAATCACTTTATCTGTTATCCTTACCCACTTTACCCAACCCTTAGTTTCTGTCTTTTTAAAATTAAAATTTTATGTGTATGAGTGTTTGCCTGTACGCATGTGTGTGTTTCATATGTGTGCCTCAGAGTCCAGAAGATAGTTCCGATCCCTTGGAAAGTGCAGTTTGGACAGTTGTGAGCCGCCATGTGGGTGCTGGGAATTGAACCCAGGTCCTCTGGAAGAGCAGCCAGTGCTCCAGCACCCTCTACTGGGCTTCACCAAATGCTGCAGGTGATTCTGACACAGCCAGGTGTGGGGACACTGGGACTAGAGGTTGTCTGTTTTCTTCAGGCTTTCCGGACGAGGCCTGGGCTAACCTTCCAGCTCTTGAGAGTGTTTTTTAGTTTATTCTCTAAACTGGAAAGAGTGAATTTTGACTGATCAGCACAGTCTGGTGTAGCAAGTATTATGATTTTCAGAAAAGAAGACAAACTTAAACTCCTCTCCCCTAATCCCGAGGCCAGGAAGATGCAGAGGCTGCATCATACGGGATTTGGTTACACCGTGTTCGGGGAGGGGAGGCGTCTTTGCTTTCACTTAGAAGTGGGCTAGGTCTCTTGAAGTCATAGTAGAAGGGAGTAGATGCAGGAAACATGGTAATACCAATAGGTCTGGCCATCTTGCTTAAAATTTCCCTAGGAGCCAAGTGTGGTGGCACTCCTTTAGTCCCAAGACTTGGGAGGCAGAGGCAGACAGATCTCTATGAGTTTGAGGCCATCCTGGTCTACTTAGCAGGCTCCAGGTCAGACAGAGCTACATAGAAAGGCCTTGCCTCAAAACCAAAATCAATCAATCAATCAATCATTAGGAGCTAAGAATGTGGGGTAGTTGCTTGGTGTTGGTCCAATGGCCTAGGTACAAAAAAGAGGTGGTCCTTGTGTACAAGTTGTAGGGTTGTTTTTTTTTTTTTTTTGCTCTTTGGGGGCCCACTACCCAGTTCCCAAATAAATCACAAATCTTGTAAATGCCCAGCTTAGCTTGACTTATTTCTAGCCAGCTTTTCTTAACTTGAAGTAGCCTGTCTCCCTTTTGCCTCTGGGCTCTCATCATTCTCTATTTTTGTACACTTTTATTTCTTACTCTGTGACTTGCTGTGTAGCTGAGTGGCTTGGCCCCTAGGAGTCCTCCTCTCCTCCTTTTCTTGTTCCTTGATCCCCCTTTCCCAGATTTCTCCTATTTATGCTCTCTGCCTTTCTCCTGCCTTGCTATTGGCTGTTCAGTTCTTTGTTAGACCTATAAGGTGTTTTAGACAGGCCAAGGAATACAGCTTCACAGGGTTAAACAAATGCAGCAGAAAAGAATGACCACACCTTTGTTTTGTTAAACAAGTGTTACACAGCATAAACACATCTTTTACTAATGTTCTTCAGCAGCAAGTGGCTCTCAGCCTGATTGTAACCAGGCACAGGAGCTGCAAGCTGTAGTCTGAAGAGGGTCCTGCTCTCAGAGAAACTCAGTACCTACTACATACAGGTACAACAGAAGGCTGGTTCTGGATACTGGAGGCTGGGAGGTCTTATTTCTGGATGGAAAAAAAAGCCAGGTGTGATATTGCATACCTATAACCCAGCGCTTGGAAAGTGGAGGTAGGAGGAGCAGAAGTTTGAGGTTATCTGTGATCACACAGTGAGTTTGAAGCTATAGATGAAACTCATTTTTAAAGACATTCTGGCCGTGAACTCACAGTGGTCCCACCTGCCTCTGCCTCCCCAAGTGGTGGGATTAAAGGTGTGCCTGCCACCTTGCCCAGTGAGACTGTCTTAAACAAAGCAAAATTAAAAATAAAATAAAAAATTCCTAAAGCAGGGCACAATACTGTATACCTATAACCCTGCCTACTTGAGAGTCTGGACAGGTGGATCATTTGAGCCTTGTTCATGGCCAGCCTAGCCACCATCCTAACTCAACAATAAATATCTGGTTGGGCTGGAGAGTTGGTTCAGTGGTTCAGGGCACTTGTTCTTGCAGAGAACTGGAGTTTGATTCCCAGCATCCACATGGCAGCTCACAGCTGTCTTGAACTCCTGTTCCAAGAAGGTCTGATTCCCTCTTCTGGCCTCCTTAGGCACCAGACATGCACGTGTGCACATTCAGGCAAAAGACATAAAATAATATAAAAAAATTACCAGCACAAATACAATAATACTGGTAATAAGATGATGATGATGATGATGATGATGATGATGGTGGTGGTGGTGGTAACTGAATGTGGTGAAGCACAGCACGCTTGGGATTCCAGCTCTTTGCAGGCTGGGGCGAGAAGATTGTAGGGAGTTCAAGGACAGTTTAGGCCACAAAGCAAGACTGACTCAAAAGAGGGCTAAAGAGATGGTTCAGCTGTTAAGAGCACCGGCTACTCTTCTAGAGGAGCCAGATTTGGTTCCCAGCACCCAGATAGCAGCTCATAACTGTAACTCCAGGTCCAGGGACTCCTGACACCCTCTTCTGACCTCCCTGAGCACCAGGCATGCATGTGGCACACTGAGGTACATATAGGCAAAACATTCATAATTTTGAATAAAATTAAATTGAAAAGAACAACAAAATAAATTGCCTGCCTCAAAAGACCCAGCAAACACAAACAGATACCAGCACACACCTGTCATCCCAGCTGGAGAACGGAGGACCAGTCTGAATTGTATGAGACCCACCTAGTCACAGAGCAGACAACAAACCCGCTTGCATATGGTGGTGAAGGTCTTCCAGCTGAACTGCTCCCCATGCTGGAAAGCAAGGGGAAGAAGAGGGGTGAGGTAGACAAACACCCTTTTGCAATCTCCCCATAGATTTGGAGTCCTTGTGGCCTAATTAGTTTTTAAAGATGCTCCAGCCTCTTTGCCTGGTTACAATGGTAATTAGATTTCAATGTATTTTTTTCAGCAGGCACAAACAATGATAATTAGATTTCAATGTGATTTTTCAGCAGGAACAAATATCTTTTGGAAGCACAGGGAGTTTGGGAAAGCCTTGGGAACTGTCTCACGGGATGCATTGGAAGTTTGCATAGGAGAAACGGAACAGGAGGACACTTCCAAGGGACCGGTGTGGGCAGAGGCTCAGAAGGACAGCTGTGTTGGGAATGATTGGAAAAGCGAGCTACAGAAAGATGACAAATCAGCACAGGGTTGGATGACTTGGCCAAAAGAGATCCGTGGGCTAACCCAGAGATTCCATTGATTTAAGTCTTTGAATGGTCCTTTGGCCAAAGGAATAGACACAGAGTGAAGGGCCAATGGGAGAGTGAGGAGCCACTAATACGGTCCAGGTAAGAGATAATGGTGTTGATTCTGAGGGCTTGTTAAGAAGCATAATGCTGCAGGCTGGATCCGTGGAGTGATGAAAAGAGCAAACCTGAAGATATTATACAGGATTTTCTGTTAATGAACGAGAATTGCTCAGAATGAACATCGCAGAAAGAAGCGTGTATCAGGGGAATACTTAACATGTCAAGAGGCGCTACCAACACTTGTCGAGGAGACGTCAAGAACTATGGCACTTTCTGCACATGGAGATGGTTTGAAACAACAACCCTAGAGGATGTTTTAACATGTGTCTGTGTGTGTGGAGGGGTCACACGCCACAACCCCCTTGGGGGAGGTCAGAGGATGACTTTCAGGAGTTGATCTCCTTCTACCACGTGGATCCTGAGGATTAGCTCAGGCCATCAGCTTGGTAGCAGATACCTCTACCTGCTGAGCCATCTGGCCAGCCCAAGGGTATGTTCTTATGGTCTTTTTATTTTTTTTA